CTTTTATTTCACTACAAAAAGCATGTTCTCCAAGTGCTGCAAAAGCTTAAATTTCACACTTCGATTGAATTGAGAACGCTGCTTGACCAATTAACACTTGGATTTATTAAGCTCCTAACAATTGAGCACCAAATCAATATTTCATGTAATGGATATGCCGTGTGGCCGAATTGATACACTTTCTTATTCATTTATTATTATGTACTGAGAATGAGAAATGAGAAGTTACTTTATTCTTGGCTTGAAATGCTAAATGTTTAATCCATCCTCACATTAATTAGGACATATCAATCAATGATTGAATGGTACACCACATCCATTACTTTCTCGGCATAGCAACTTGCTCAAACTTGGCTAAGCAGAAAAATAATAAATAATAAGTTTAGTTTTGATGATAGATTATTCATTATTTTAAAATAAATGTGATATGATCAAATAATTATCAAATCTTTCATTAAACGTGATATGATCAAATGATCGAGGTTTGAACCTTTGTCAACAAATCCTTTGACAAGCTCCAAGTTCCATTGTTTGTCTCTTGAATAGGGATTATCAGGGGATGGGAACCCCTCACTCTATTGTGTAGTTTGTTCTGGGCATTTGGCCCTGTTTTAATAAAAAAAACAAAAGACTATCAATATTTAATTAATTTAATTTTTTTTATTGACAAATTATTCGACAAGTCTAACAAAATAAACGGGATATTAAAACAAAAAGAGAACCAACCAGGCTTACCCGTTGGCCAAGAGCCCTGCACATCACTAAAAGATTTATTTTTGAATAAATTATAAATACATCATTTGAGATTTGCTTAAAATACGAATTATTCATTGTGATTGGAAAAATTACAAATGCTCCATTGTCAGAATTTTTTATTTAATAGAAATAACTGAAAAAATTAAATTTCTAACTACTCTCCTATACAATGATAAAATTACCTAAATTATTAATTAAATAAATTTCTGACAATATTAAAATTGTTAATTGACTTTATTAATAAAATGGGGCAATTTATTAGGTAATTAAAAACTTCAAAGGCCGATATATAATTTCTAAAATCACAGGAGACAAATCGTATTTTAAACAAATCTCAAAAGGTGTGTTTATAATTTACTCTTAATTTTTTGACTTCCAGCTTCGTTTGACAATTGACTTTTTGGCTAAATGACAAAATAGACTAGGCTTTGTTTGGCAATGATTTTTTAGTTAGTTTTTTGATTTTTTTTTTGACTTTTTTGGACTTTTTTAGACTTTTTTAGCCTGAGACTTTTTTGTTTGTTTGGTTTTCTAATTTGGATTTTTGGCTTTGGAAATGATGTTCCCAAAAGTCAAATGATAAAATTGCCCTCCACTTGCCAACTCCAAAAACACCTCCAATTAATTACAAATTTTGCAATGGGGCAGTTTGGTAATTTTGCATTCCAACTCACGTGGCTCAAAACTCACGTGATAGTGTTTTGGTAGTTTGTGATTTCGTAGTCTCTTTTGTCCATATGTGTCTACCATAGCCCCAAAATAATTCCCAAATCGGGGCTAAGTCAATAAGACAAAATGTCACATTTAAATTATAATCATTTTACTTTTTTCTTACAAAAGTAAAAAAAAAATCAAACCAAACAAACATTATTCCCAAACTAAAACCCCCAAAAAACCAAAAAATTAACTTAAAAGTGGTATTTGCATGCCATATATAAAAACGATATTGAGCCTTTAAATAAGAAATAAGAATCTGGGATCTTGGCCATCCAAAAATAAAATGGCAACCGGTTATAACCGGTCAAGAAAAACTCTCTCTTTTATTTTCTCGTTTCACATTTCGTCCCTACCCCACATTCTTTGCATTTTCATGGCTCAATCTCCATCCCTTTGATTCAGTGTTTCCGGCGATCAACGACCCTCCCTAGTTCTTCTGACTTCCCCAGTTCCCTAGCCTTAGTTTTTTTCTTCTCTCTCTACTCGTTCTTCTCCTGTACAGTGCCAAAACGCGTCGAAGAAGATGTGAAACAGCCAATCGCTTTGGACTCGCTTAGAGAGCTTCTCTAATTTATCACTTGTAGGAGAGGGTTCGGGAAAAGAGTTAGAAAATTCGAAGATCTTCGAAGATCCTTGAAGAACAACTTCGAATTCTCTAGAATATGATTGAGAGGCTTAGATTCTTCAATAATCTCAACTTAGGAACACAACAACAAAGGAGATGATGGAGATAAGAGATTGGGTGAAGAAGAAGGCAAAATGGCTAGAGAATAGAATAATGGCAAGGCTCTCCCATGGATCTCCCACTTTCACTCTCAAGGTTGATAATGGAGAAGGGAAATTAGTTCTTTCCCAAGAGTTAAAAATCTCCAAAATCCATCCCTTGAAAAAAGGAAAAAACCAAAATAAGTAAAAAAATGTTCACTATTTTTTTGCTTATTTGTTTTTTTATGAATTTTTGTTTATAATTTTTGAAATGTTTTTAATTTTTCAATTCGTCTAGAGTTGAATCTAATAATTTTTTTAATAAAAAAAAAATCATTAAAAATAAAAATTGGTTGTTACTATTAGCGCATTCCTTTTTCCTTTGAACTTTCATCTCTTTTATTTTTTTATTACAATTTTACCCTAACACCAATTTTTATTTTTACCCATCTCTATCCTTCCAATCCTAATCCTAATCCTAACCCTAACCCTAACCCTAACCCTCTACTTCCACCTCTATCTCCACTCCGGCCAACGACCTTCTCTCTCTCTCTCTCTCTCTCTTCTTCTTCTTCTTCTTCTTCTTCTTCTTCTTCTTCAGCAAATTCGACCATATTCCACATCGCTACTATTGCCCCTCCAATCTTCATCCTCACCAACAATCCTTTTTTTTCTTCATTCTCCTATTTTCATCTTCATCCTCACCATCACCACCCACCACCATCGCCGACCACATCTTCACCAAAACCTAGTTGCCAAACCTTAGTCTCCACGAGAAGAAATATCAAGCGCGAGAGAGAGATCAAGCAACAAATTGAGAGATATTGAACGCTAAACCCTAGCCACCGCGTGGGTATAGTCTTCTTCTTCTTTTCTCCCCAAACTAATTCAATGAATGGAGAGTCGCCGCCGTGATTCCTACCACAGATCTAAAACAAAAAAAAAAAAATGATAGGGGTCACGGTGGTCAGAGGTTATAGAAGGGTGGTCACCAGTGGGAGAGATGTTGAGAGGTCGTCGGAGAGGTGGAATTGTTGGCCGAAGTTAGTGGGGATGGGATTAAGGTTAGGGACTAGGGTTTGTGTTTAGTTTGGAGATAAAGGTGTAGTTGGTATTAATGTAGAAATTCAAAAATAAAATGATAAGAACTCATTTTTCGTAGTGGAGTTCAAAAAAATGAAATGCTGAAGTGAAAAAAGTGGAAGCAAATAGAAGCCTTCTAAAAATTAGCCATGGCACGTTGGTTGTTACTTTATGGTTTTACCCTCTCCACTAACGTGCGCGTCGGGATTGTGCTACGATTAGGTGTAGTGGAGTCATCAAATGTGGGAGAGGAGTGTTGATATGCGTCACCCCATCTCATTTTTACAGTATGTAGGAGAGGGTTCAAGAAAGGAGTTGGAAAATTCGAAGATCTTCGAAGATCCTCGAAGATCCTCGAAGAACAATTTCGAATTCTCTAGAATATGATGAGAGGCTTAGATTCTTCAATAATCTCAACTTAGGAACACAAAAACAAAGGAGATGATGGAGATAAGAGATTGGGTGAAGAAGAAGGCAAAGTAGCTAGAGAAAGAATAAGGGCAAGGCTCTCCCATGGATCTCCCACTTTCACTCTCAAGGTTGATAATGGAGATGGGAAATTAGTTCTTTCCCAAGAGTTGAAAAATCTCCAAAAAAATTCATCCCTTGTAAAGCTATGGGTGGGTGCTATTTATAGGCACCTCATGATGTAGGATGGAGCCCATGTGCAAGGCACATGGGGGATATTCTCTCTAACCACCTTGTCCGAGGAGGTGACCTCTCCGAGGAGGTGACTTCTCCGAGGATGAGATGTTGAGGTCCGAAATTCGAAGTGAAATTTTTTATTTGCCTCTTCCTAGTCGTCATGGGAAAGAAAGGCAGAAATAAGAAAGATATTATTCCCTGAGAGCTTGTCCAATACCACCAGTACCAGAAATGCATCTCCTTCGCCCGCGCGAGAGACTTCTATGCCAGCCGGGAATGTGAATAACGGCTCTGCTATGAAAGAAAGCGGCAGACAGACTAATTTGGCCGGTATTCCCTAATGAGTGGCTTTAGGAGATTAGGGTCCCCCCAACTATTCTCCACCCATCCGCGGAGGGTTTCCGTATCCGTCTCCGCGGAGATCTCCAGATCGTAAGACATTATCGCCTTCGCGGCACTGGAGTATATTTCCGTCATTTCCGGAAAGTACACGGACAGCCGCCCTTTCCCCTTTTCACAATGTTCGTGAAGTTGCTCACGAATCAAAGTGTGAATGTCCCTTCGAAGTGCCGCACGCTCTTTTTGATCAGGAGCGGGGTGGGCAACTTCCGTCGGTGCTGGCGCCTGCGGCAGCGCCTCTGGAGCCGCCCCCTGGAGCCAGCGGGTTCTGAATGACCTCCCTCTCACGGTTAAAAAAGTGATTAACCATCTCGAAAAAATCCATATCGTCCATCCGAAAAACGTGTCTCAATTACAGCCAACTCCCCTGTCTGTTTCCCTATCGAAAAACCAACCCTACTCCATTTTTTCTAGAAATGCTAACCAAGTGACACACTGGGGCCATGGGTCATGAAAGAGGTTGATCCCCATCCCCCTTAACTATGTATGGCCAATGAACTCCTCGCTTTAGTCCGTTCTTTTACTTCTTTGGGCTCGGGTCGATAGTAGCCGTGGTAGTAATGTCCCGGACCCGGCTACCGCCCCGAGGCGCCGATCGGGAAAGTCATAAAGGGACGTTAAACGTAATTCTAGGAGGGCGTTACCACAACAAAAAACCGAGTCTTGGCAGTTCAAGTGAAAGTTTATTAGTCATCTTCAACAGGCACAGACCCAGCTCCTCTTCTTCAACAGACACAGACCCAGCTCCTTTCTTTTTTTTTTTTTTTTTTTTGTTTCAAGAAACCAAACGTTCTTCTTCAAAAAAAGAAACAGAGCTGCTGCCGTTTGCACAGAGCTCCATCGTGGCTTCACGCAACGCCGCCGAAGACACAAGCCACTGTCACGGTTGGCTAGCACCGGCACCAACTCGTCAAGCCGCCACTGTCACTATCGCAGCTTCACCTATTTCAAACGTCGCGGCCCAAGTTGCCGTCAACCTCTTGTTGTTCCAGCTCCGATCAAGCCGCCATCGGTCTCTCTTTACTCCACCTCCGATCACTTCTCTTCGCTGCATCTCACGCCCAACTCTTGCACCGGTGCTTCATTCATCGACCGTAGCTGATCAATGACGACCATGCCGCCCACTCAACGCGGCGTCGGTCTGTCGGTATACTTTCTCGCCCACTGAAATTCATCACTATTAGCCATGACCCGCCAACGCTGACCACATCACCGATTCAACGTGGTGTCGGTCTGCCCAATTGTTCTACCACCTGCATAGGCTGCTTCTAATTTTCAGTCTCTTTATCGCTTCTGTACGTTGGTGGGTAAGCTATTCGAATTTTTTTTTTAAAAGAAAAATTGGTGGAAGCCTTCTTTGTGGTAAACCCAACTTCAGAATCTCTACATCTGATATATATATTTTGTGAATCTTGATGTGTCAATTGCTGCTCATTGCTAAAGAAAATATAACTTGAATAGCCCTCCGTTGATTTTTTCCTTGAAATGGAGGCAAGTCTTGAGGCATTTTTGTTGACTCAAAATCTGATGTTGCTAAAATCACAATATTGAATGTTTGAATATTGTAATTCCTGAATTTCAAACTTTACTCAGAAGCTTGGTTTGAATGTAGACAAAATGACACTTTGCTTTGTTGAAAAGAAAGAAACAAACGTGTTGTTGTTGTCGATGATACACACATTGGTATTGCTATTTGTTGAACCCCTCCGACTGGATCTTGAACTCATAATGAAATGTAGCCCTGAAATTCATATTTTGGAGCTTGACTTTGTGTCGATAAATATTGACATAGATGGGGTACTAATGTTGCAAAGATTCATTGGTGTAGAGAGAGAAATAATTTGAATCTTTTGAGTTTTGTTGGTGCTGCTACTGAAAATTTTGTCTTGAAATAGCTATTGCCTCTATTGAATCTTGATTTGCATAAGAAATGTAGTCTTGAAATTCATGTTGACAAATCTAACGTAAATAGAATATTTGATGCTTGCATTGAAATATTGATGTCAATGGTGGAGATGTGATAGGAATGATGTCACGCTTGATACCATGTGCCAAGACCGAACCAGCTTACCATCAGCCTCTCTTTGCTGAAACTCTTCCTCCGGCTTCGGCGGTCCAATGCAAACCACATACGTCGCCCGTTCAACGCGTCGTGTGTGGTCTTGCCTAACGCTGTTCAACTCGTCGTTGGTGTGCCCTCCTGGCTTAGCAACATTTTTCAAAGTTCCGAATACATAGATCTTGGCCTTGCTTTACACTCACTGGTTCCAGCTCCAATCACTGTTGACTTCGACGGTTCCAACGCACACCACACACGTTCGCCCTCTCAACGCAACGTGTGTGGTTGCTGACTCTTCTGTGGTACCAGCGTTGCTTCCGGCTTGAACTTGTCCGACGCCCACCACGCACGTTCGCCCACTCAACGCAACGCGTGTGGTCCTGCCAAGCCTAGCCCAGTCTTGTTGATTACAGTCTGTAAAACCTCTCTGATTTTAACTTGAATTTCCAACATCGGCTTCGGACTTCACCCCTCTAACAGTCCCAAATTTGTGAGTATGAAATTTGGCTCCCTCTTCCTCTTGTTTAATAATAAAGACGATATATTGTTGTTTGTTTAACTTATGGATGCTTGGGAAATACATAGCTGATGCCAAAATTTTTTGTGTGGCCGTTGTAGTTTTACGTCGGCTTGAGAGGAACCAGCCCGGAGAGACAAAAACTTGATAGTTGCATTTTCATGAACTTGCTCAGAGTAATAAAATTGTTGTAGCTTAAATAGATAATTATTATTTGTTGATGTTGACCCATTCTGATAATGCCTGAATCATGATCTGAAATTGATATTGTTTGTCTCATTTGTTGGCTTTGCTATTTCAGGCAAATGAATTCTTGATTGAAATCCACGACCTCGGGGCCCTTGGAACCCGAACTAATGAGAGCAAGGGCTGTTCCTCGGAAGTCTGAACAGAAGCAAGACTGTCCATCGGGAGTCCGAAGGTAGCACACACAAGAGAGACTTTCCATCAGCGTGAGCTTCGTAGGATCTGTCCTTGCTAAAGTAGAGTGTGTTCTCACGCCATTCAGACTTTCGAAAAAGAACAGATTTTGCTTCCGCTAGTGCGAGCTTTGAAGAATTAGGCTTTGTTTCTTTCAATTAGGCTTGCCGAAGTAGAAAGTGCGCTATGCCACAGTCGGACTTCCGATGAGACAGCGCTTTGGTTTCTGATCGGGACTTATGAGGGAGAGCCTTCCGAGGGAAACAACTCTTGCTTCTCATTAGTGCGGGTCTGAAGAACAACTCTTGGTGATTTCATCAATACGAGCTCCGAGGATCTTCTTTTCAAAATAGTCAGTGGACTCTTACTGCGAACTCCCGAGAGATAGCCGTTTGCTTCCATTAGCTGCTAAAGTAGAAGTGCACAATCCACTGCGGAACTTTATCCGAGGGACAGCCTTGTTTATGCTCGGACTTCCTGAGGGTAGAGCCTTGCTTTCTGCTCGAAACTTCAGAGGGACATCCTTTGCTTCTGTCTCGACTTCTGGGAGAGCAAATCGTGTTATTTCTTTGTTGGTCAAGTTGGTAGAACTCGGTTATCTTCCCAGAGGAATCTTTCTTGCCAACGTAGGT